TTCCTATAAACGAGACAGTGTAAATAAAATGAATCCCCGCCAAGTGAAATTCTAACAGTTGTCATGGTTACAAAAGGTTAAATAAGTAAAAACACTAAAATGATCATGTAGAAACATATAAAAGTAAACCAAATGACCATAACAAAAGTACTCAATGTCCTAAAGGAAGACAGAGCAACAAGAAAATCACCTACAAGGGCCCGACGAAGCAAGGCAGAAGACGAACATTAAGACAATTCAGTCCAAAAGGGCTTTACGAACTATCCATCATAGAGTCTCCCACTTGGTCCGTCAGATGCAATCAAAAGAGGAAAGCGTAGTGTCCAACTGTAAAAGGGTTGAACACTAAACATGCAGTATGTCTTAAAATAGTAGGGTCATAACCTCTTTTAATAAAACGTTTAATGATTTTAGTAAAAACAGCAGAAAAATTACCATGACCCAAAATCTTACGAAGTTTGTAAATCACATCGCCATAAAAACCAGGCTGGCTAATCCCTTGTCGCAGAAGAGTTTTTAAATCACTATTGAATTTGGAATTAAATCAAAGTTACGATTGTAAAATTTAGTAAATATATTCCGTAATTTATGATAGCGGTAGCCCTGTTTTAGAAGCTTGCTGGTAATAAAAATATTCCGCTCGTTGAAATCCTTTACGTTGCTACAAGCTCTAGCGAATCTAATTAACTGGGAAACATAAACCCCGTAAGATGTTGCATGGGGTACGTCTCCATCTAAATGTGGATAATTAACTATACAAAAGTCAAAGTCATCTCTTTTATCATAGATTTTTCGTGTGAATAGAATTGTTGTTGATAGTAATATGAAGATCCAAAAATGATGTACTAAAAATTTGAAGAGTTCGTTTTATTAAGTTGTAGTTCATGCGGATAAATGTCAGACACCATTTGATCAAAATAAGGATTATCTAAATTAAAAATATCATCAAGGTATCTGGAAGTATTATTAAATGCGACTATAACATCTTGTTGTTTTTCTTCAGAGAGACTCAACATAAAGTCTCTTTCATAGCAGTACAAAAACAAATCGGCGACCAGGGGTGCACAATTAGTACCCATAGGAATTCCTATGATCTGTTTAAATAGGGTATTACCAAACCTGACATAAATGTTGTCTAAAAGAAAAGAGAGTGCTCTACAAACTTCGTCACAGGTCCACATAGTATAATGTTTTACAATACCGTTAGTAAAAAAAAGCTTTGTTAGAATTACATGCTAGAAAGGTAACTTTTTCCCTTGCAAAAGTTTTCTGAATTAGGGAAATTAGTTTATCATTGATTAATTTATGTGGCAAAGTTGTATAAAAGTGTAGAAAAATCGTATGTACTGACAGTTGAAGCTTGAAAGTTCTTAATTTTGAATTTATCCAAGATTTCACCAGAATTTTTAATTGACCAAAAGAGATGTTTGCCTGTGTTTTCATAGACTTTATCACAATATCTAATTACATGTGTTTTAATGGCAGTCAAACAAGACGTCAATAAAATAGAAAGTTTACTTGTAGTGCAAGATGTAGAATTAGCAATGAATCTAGCTTTGTAAGGTTTTTTATGTAATTTAGGAATCCAATACATAATAGGAAGTTTAAGTTCTTTTTCATTAATTTGTACTTTAAGATTTGAAATATTAGTAATATGATTGTTTACAATGTCTTTTTCGGAGGCAGAGGTTTTAGAATACGCATTAGTACTATTAAGTTCCTTATGCAAAACGTTAATGTAATGGATTCGTCATACAATTATAATATTATTAGCCGCCTTGTCCGCTGGCACCAAAAACAAATTTTGAATGAAAAGCTAGAATATCTTTCTTCAGATGTCTTAAAGTAAGTCTTGTTTTAGGTGGCAAAAGATGTTCATTTCCACGATAAAAATTAATACGTGAATCAATAATTTTAAAGATGTTACGTTTCCATGTAACTAGAGCATTACTATCCGCATTTTCACGGCGACACCATTTGACCGAAAAATCCTCTATAGATTCAGCAATCTGACCACGACAAGCATTTAAAATCAATTTCAGAAGGAATTCTGTATTTAGGTCCTTTCAAGAATAAGTTACGAATTCTTTTGTCTGCAATTATATCAAAATTACCAGTGATTATATGGCCAAAATCTGAATTACAGAATTTAGAAGTATTGCAGTCTCAAGTTGTTGGAGTATTAGACTGAATATTTAAGTCAGAAACCACTTTGTTGTAATTAAATATGATATTTCTAACAGGTTTTCTTATATTTATAGCAAATAATTGGTATCTCGGTGTTTTTGAAGTATAAAGGAACTGAATTAGTGACACGTTTATCACGAAAAATACTTGGTAAATCGATGAAATCGATACCTTTATTAAGAAAGGTTACTTTTAGGAAATGCCTGTTGTGGTCAGAAGTGTTGTCGATATGAGGTCTTAAGACGTGCTGAGAATAACTTTGAATAAGATAAGCTGCTGTATATAAAGGATCTGTTTGAATAACTATATTATCTGCTTCCGCGTCTAAGATTTTCAGAGATGATAATGAAAGGGAAGTAAGACGTGATAACATTGCATGTTTACCAGAGTTCTTTAAGATAATATTTAAGTCGGTGACAGACAGGGTAATTTTAGATTTACGTTTGATGTTGCCATTTCTACGTACTCCGTGAGATCGGGATTTACGTTTACGAATATTCAGAATAGAAAAATATATCAATGTTTGGATCTTTAGAGATGTTACCTTGTTGAAAAATATTGTCATTTAGGCCAAGTGGGAAAGGCGTTTGTAAGTTCTTGATCCATTTTAATTCTGCTAAGTGTCTAACTTTAACTTTAAAACTAGCAGAAGCATCAGAATCATAAATTATTTGTTCCACTGGTTGAATTGAAACATTTTTTTAAATGAATGACCATCTTTACGAAAATGTTTGATATAGAAAAGTTGTAAATTTTGTGCGATTTCTCATTTTATATAAAAAATGTTCACGGAATCGAATTTTAAGAGAACGTCCTGTCTGACCAACATACTGTATGCCACACCCAGGGGTGTTTCAAGTTAAAACATAAACAAAATGAGTTGCCTTTCAGTCAATATCTGTATTTAAAATAATATTAAAAGTTCTCCCATTTACATTAGAGGTTATTGTAGACCTGTGCGATAAAAAGTTACAACATCCGCACCTCTTAGAATTACACTTATAAATAGAAGGATAACCATGACAACTGTTAGAATTTCACTTGGCGGGGATTCATTTTATTTACACTGTCTCGTTTATAGGAACATGGTGGGGCTAAGAGCGAGGTTTGGTGCACCATTAACCGGTTTAAACTCCCCAGCAGTCATTATTATGCTGCTGACCGTTCCAAGGCGGCGCCCCTCTGTGTTCCTCAGATGTATGTCTATGTTGTTTCATACTGTTTTGGTGACACTTTTGCTTGTGTCCCTTGTTGTTTTCTCGTCTACGGTAAGTATCTTCCCCATTACCTCTGGTTATCACTGGTTACCACCAGGACGCTTCCGTAATCTACATATAAACTCTATTGTACAGAGAATTTACTTGTATACAAAACTACACGCAGGTTTATCGATTTTCGCCTAACAGCTTTTACACTGCTCTATTTTACCAACAGATTGAAAATGATATAAAGTTTAACAAAAATTTTATCAAAGTTTAACAAACAATATTTTGCCAGCAACTTAAAGAGAATATCCCGGACGAGCCCCCAAATTGTCAGGAGAAATGACTGCCTTGTTGTTATTTAATCGAAGGAAAGATTTAGTAATAATACTAGAACCAATTTCCAAGATATGGGGACTGGGCAGCACCGCCTGACATAAAATTGAAATATTTTCAGTTGGAAAAAACTAGCATGTAATTGTATAGTTAACACTTTTGTTTTAGGTATTTTATCATTTTCTATCTCAAATCCATATATACATTTAAACAACAAAATCTGATTACTATTTACACCCAAAACAAAGAACTCTGATCATTATTTACACCCAAGACAAACACACATCATTTATCAACCACTTATATGAAATATCTTTTCACGTATACGTCTTTTGTACTAAACAAAACTTAACACCTGGCGAGCCCAAGCTCTTAACAACTTATGATCAAACAAAACAATAAAATCACCACAAAATGAATAACGCAAAAATGAATATTTTTACAACTCTAAGATACACTATAAACCACAAACATTCAACCAACAACATTAACTTCACAAAAATTAAAACTTCTAATCAGCATCAGAAAACAACTTAAACTAAAGCACCCAATATTTACATATATTCTCAAAACAAAGCATCAACTAATATAATCTTGACCTGACATAATCAACCAATTTCAACGAAGTATATCTTACCAAACAGATATAACTCAACAACCAAAACAACTAATTACAACCAATAAACCCTGGTCAATTAAGATCACCACAATAACATTCAAGCAACTAACAACAAATTCTCTTCACAACAAAAAAAAACAACAAAAAAACAAACGCTCTCCTAAACTGATGTAAAATCAGTCTCAAAACTCGCATATTTTCTGTTTATTCACATGTATAGAGAGTTTAATATTCGCACATTGAAATATGATACACTTCTACGATGTTCCGTTTGGACAGTCGTGATTTTTAATTTAGTCTGTTCTCTCGATGCACGATGGTACGATGGTGAAAACGCGATGGCACGATGGTGAAAACACGATGATACGATGATGATAGCGCGATGGTACGATGGTGAAAGCGCGATGGTACAATGGTGAAAACGCGATGGTACGATGGTGAAAACGCGATAGTACGATGGTGAAAGCGCGATGGAACGATGGTGAAAATGCAATTGTACGATGATGAAAACGCGATGGTGCGATGGTACGATGGTGAAAACGCGATGGTACGATGGTGAAATCGCGATGGTGAAAAAGCGACGAACCATCGCGTTCTCACCATCGTACCATCGTGTTTACACCATCGTTTCATCGCGTTTTCACCATCGTACCATCGTGCACCGCGGGTACAGACTAACTAAAAAGTCACAATTGTCCAAACGGAACACCGTACACTTCAGTTTATCGCTGTAAAGAAAAATTATCTACAGTGAAACTGTATGATTATTCTGACAGTAAAGGTTTATATTCCTTATAACTAGACCTATTTCTTTACACACCTGTTTTCAACTTGGCTCATTAACATTCAATTTGGGAAAGATTGAAATATTTAAAAGATTGGACAATGACTTCCATGGAAGAATTCAATGAGGGTAAGTGTATATATAACAATTATTATTTCAACCAGCTTTATTTTTTACTTTTCTGTGATTATGATTGATTTCATTATAATTTTGTTCATTTTTTATTTATTTTAGCTGAAATTTTATAAATTATTTAATCTAAAGTGAACAGATTTTGTAAATGATGGAAGACCTACTTTTACAGTTGCTGTTTCATATTTTACAAAAATAATTCGACGACATTTATAAGTCAAACTGTTCACTGTATAAATTATTTAATCTTAGGGGAACATTTATGTAAATGATGGAAGACCTACTTTTATAGTTGTTGCTTCATATTTTACAAAAATAATTCGACGACATTTATAAGTCAAACTGTTCACTGTATAAATTATTTAATTTAAGGGGACAATTTATGTAAATGATAGAATACTTACTTTAAAAGTTTCTGTTTCACATTTTTATTTTTGTAAAATGTTGAAAATAATTACAACTGTAGAAAGATTCAGCAAGTACAATAGAATTTAATATTAGAATTTAAAAAGAAGGTACACTCACTCATGTGTTATAATTGAACTGGTAATCATGCATGTTCAGCAAATCATCGTAATTTAAATAACAAAACATTTATTATCGATTATTGTTTGGCAATATTAATTTTCGGGATGATGTTTGCTTGTTTCCGTAATTCATAACGATTTACCCATTAATTTTTAATCACAATACTTTCATTTTCATTTGCCGATAGCCCAGTGGTAAGTAGGATAGCATTGCAATCGCGAGGTTGCAGGGTCGAATCCTGTTACATTTCCATCACTACCGGTATTTCTTTTATTTACATGCAGCATTAGTGGACAAATCATTTGATTATTTACGGGTTTATTTATTTAATATATGTATTTATTTATTTCTAAACTTTGATATACATGCCTATGTAATTCTTCATAATTTCAATATGTAATGTCGTACAATGGTTGACTTGCACAAACATAGTAAACAAGTAAAAATGTATTATGATGAAAACAAGTTAAATGTTGATGCTGCACAGTCACAGGTAATGTACAAAATCAGCAAATTGCTCTCTGCAGTTGAATATCCGAAGCAGTAATCAACTTTTTGGTATGTGCTGCTTGTTTAATAAATGAAGACGAAAACAAACTTGAGAACAAAAGTGTGTTCCGGTGCCGGGAATCGAACCCGGGCCACCGGGGTCTACAACCCTGATTCAGTATATACAGTATAGAAATAATGCATGCTAAAATAACCTAAGAAAATTAGGTTTGTAACATGTTTCATAACTTATACTAAAATTTAATAACAACACAAATACGTTTTTATTACATTATATCAATTTCGTAGACCCGATCTTATTTCCGCTTTACACGGCCATTTGAGGTATTTTCTTACGTATGTATTTTCGGCTCAAACTGCACATACGCTATTTCAAAAATAAATCTTATTTTCGTAACCGCGAACTTGTTTTCGCTAAATAGCTTATTTTCGGTATCCAGCACGTGTGGTTTAAACAACTAAAAGGGTATTAGGGTTAAAAAAAAATACCAAAATCCACCTAGCATACAGTGTCAAGAAATACTCCCCGACTGACCGAGGCATAATTAAATGATTGAATATTAAATTTAAGATTTTCAATTCAACAACTTTTTATTATTTTCAAAATGCATGTTTACACTTATCCGTGTTTGTTGTAAAATATATTCTATATATCGTCGATAGAATGACCACTAAATAAAGATTTAAATGCATTACGGTAATTGAAGGAATTACGCTGATTATACCCTAATTTCCCCAACCGCAACTTTTCGGCCCATTCGGAGAGGCCTCGGCTATTATGTATTATAATAACCTCGGAAACAATACGGATTGAAAGAAGTTTCAGATGTAAACAGAATAAAGTTTCCTTTTAAAAGGAAAGGCTTGCACAGTTGTGCCTTCATCCCAACCCTTTAAAAATTGGGGGTTTTTTTTTTGGTTTCAATTTATTATCACATTTTTTTTTTAATTACGGTATTTGTATATCATAAACCGGTAGGGGACGTTTGTAGTTTGCAATACATTTCTTGCTGTATCTCTAATTAGGACCACTTATTGTATTCGTACATGTGTGTTTTCTTTTTGCAGAGGCCTTGGCTGAATTTGAGAACAGACGTCTTCGAAACCAGGTAAATAAATGTGCTGACAATGTGTAAAATTCTTTCATTTTATTTTGGTTAAACGTGGAAAACAAACTTCAATATTCAATTTTTTACAGACATAATACATTTCAGCCGGTAAGTCTTTCTAACATCACGCTTAAGTCAGAATTTGATCCTAATAATGTCTTCTTTTTTTTCTTTTTTTTTGTAAATTTTTGGTAAAATATCTTGCCAGATATTATGTGCACATTCTGACTGATATTTTGCTATTCAGAGAATCACATTTGCAAGGTTGTTTTAACGTCTGAGAAATTTACTTGTTTTTTTTATTGGCAATAAGTCACAACTTGGGACTTTCCATCATGCAGTGTGATACAGGCAAACCAACCCTCTTTTCGATGAAAGTGTCAACAAAAAATCAAGTCAGTTTGTGTCTTTTAACGCATTAGTATATGATTATATATTGTTATAAACATTGCAAATAGCTGTAAAGACAAATGTTTTAACACTTAATTGATGATGCTATCTTGTGTATACTGCTATATCTTTTTTAATTTTACTTATAGAATACAATGCCAGAGAGAACACAATTCATAGAGGGTAAGTGTATATATAGCAATTATTATTTCAACCAGCTTTATTTTTTACTTTTCTGTGATTATGATTGATTTCAATATAATTTTGTTCATTTTTCATTTATATTAGCTGAAATTTTATAAATCATTTAATCACCGTGGGTAAGCAACTTTGGTCACGTGACCACAAAAGTCAACGTACACGCCAAAAATACCTCGGCTGAGGTAAGTTTTCTATTGATTATTTTTCTGTCTAGCCGATTTAAATTATGCTACATAGCCTACCGACCGCGGCAGTTCCGATGCTTTCTAAAATGTATTTAGTTTCGTCTAACGTTTTGTATTTTTTGAGAACATTCAAACAATATTTGCAAATTGTCGATGACAACGTACACACTATTGTGTGTAGCCGGCCGGATAGCTCAGTTGGTCTTCTGACAGTCATGGGTTCGAATCATGGTCAGGCAGTTTCAGGCAGGGCTTAAAAGTGGTTTTTCAACTGACACATGTTTGATTCATTTAACAGATTGTATTAAATTTGAAATGGACAAAGGCAGTATTGTATGATACTTTTAGATCTACAAAAGGCATTTGATACAGTTGATCACACTCTGTCCAGGCATTTGCTGTTTATCATACTCTATACATCAGTGCAGATATCCTATTCGCTACAAATAGTTTTTTTTCAAGTTGGTCATTCAATTTGAGCAAATTCGACGATATAATGTTCAAATATACGATATAGTTTAAAATAGTATGTAGCTGTAAACTTTTTGCAATTTTTCTTTTCTTACATGAATGTCTAAATTTACAAAGTGGTCATAAAGACGTCATTGTGATTTTATCTTTTAAATTGAAGGACATGAACTGTCTGTTTTTGTGCATTTATACCCCACTTAGAGAGCCAATGTTATTTAATACACTACGGTCTATTGACATGAATGATATCTATAGAAATCAATCTTTGTTCAATTTGCATGCCTGAAAAACATATTATCATATTATACGACGGATCGTGAGATTGAAAGCGTGAACGAAGGCTCATATCATTGTATTGTTTTTTCGTATTTCCTTATCACATTACCAATGACCTTATAATTGTAATATAAATTCTTATAATCAAATATGTCAAAGAATATTTAAATTTTTCTTATGGGCAATACTGAGTATCTCCTACATTCTGACCCAGAACAAAAGTATGCCAGAATCAAACTGAGCGCGTCAAAATATCTTGATTAAAACGGAATGATAGAGTATAATATTATCAAGTATTTTTGTTGGCTTTATCTGTTGACCACATACAATTAAGGTTTTAGGCAAGAAATGAAATATTATTTCTATATTCATGGCTGGACGCCGATTCCAAGCATTTTTGGAAATGCTA